CTGGCGCTGTGATGACCTTCCCGGGGTCTGAGTTGAGGCCTTGGGTTAGGTTGAGTGTCAGGCTCAGGGTTGGCCACCAGAGGGCGACAAATTTGTGAATTGGCTGGGATGGGCATTCAGAGTTGGCGCGGTCTGAACATTCTCCGGAGTTGCAAGTAGTGTGTTTGAATTCTTTTTGGCAAGCTGAGTCCTCTGGTGTTGCTCAGTTATTGCCATCCCTCAGGTTTGGAGCCATGCTTCTGGGGACAGAAGCTCAGAAGCCAACCTAGGGATAGGCTCACGGCCTAGGGTCATTTCAGCCCTGATCTGCCCACACTGGGGCAAGCTTGGGGGGCGGGGGATCTGAGAGGGGGCGTGGGTCAGGGTGAGTGTGAAGCTCAGGGTTTGTGGGCAGGGGGCCGTTGAATGTGGCATTTCGCTGGGATGTGCACCCAGAGTTCTACTCGGAAAGCTTTGCCCTGAGTTCCCAATGGTGTGGTTTCCTCCTGGGAGACAGGCTGAATCCTCTGGTATTGCTCAGGTGCCCCGATCCCTGTGGCTTTAGAGCCAGGCCTCTGGGGCCAGAGCCCTCCGAAGCCCGCGAGGGAAAGGGTGAGGCCATAGGGGCACGGAAGACCCGACGTGCCAGCACTGTGGCCTGCTTCCTGCGGGTTTGTCTTGAGGGCCTGGGTGAGCTTGAGTGTCCGGCTCAGGGTTTGCCGCTAGAGGGCGAAAATTTGTGCATTCCTTGGGATGGGCATTCAGAGTCCTTCTGCTCTGAGTGCTTTAAGGAGTGCAAATGGTGTGTTTACTTTCTGGGTGGCAGCCTGAGTCCCTTGATATTGCTCGGGTGTCCCGAATCTTTGGGGCTTTGTAGCCAGGTTCTGGGGACTGACCCCTCAGAAGCCAACCTAGACTGAGTGTTAGGACATAGGGACACGGGAGGCCTGATGTGCCAGCCCTGCATCGAGGTTCTCGGCGATGGGGGTCAAGGGCATGGATCAGCGTGAGTGTCTTGCTCTTCTTTATGGCCGGGGGACCGCTGAAAGTGTGGGTGCGCTGGGATGGGCATGCAGCGTTCTCCTGCTGTGAATCCTTTCCGGAGTTCCAAATGGTGAGCTTTCTTTCTGGGTGGAAGGTGAGTACTCTGGTATCATTCTGGAGCGAGCCCTAGGGAACAAAGCACTCAGGAGCCAACCTAGGGTTGGGGTTAGGGCCTAGGGGTTAGAGCGTAGGGATAGGGCCTAGGGGTTAGAGCGTAAAGGTTAGGGCGTAGGGGTTAGGGTGTAGGGCCTAGGGTTAAGGTTAGGGTTAGGGCCTAGGGTAGGGCCAGGTTTAGGGTTAAGGCCTAGGGTTAGGGCCAGGGTTAGGGTTAGGGCCTAGGGTTAGGGCGTAGGGTTAGGGTTAAGGGTTAGGGGTAAGGGTACGGGTTAGGGTATGGGTTAGGGTACGGGTACGGGTTAGGGTTAGGGTACAGGTCAGGCTACGGGTTAGGGTACGGGTACGGGTTACGGTACGGGTTAGGGTTAGGGGTTAGGGTAAGGGTTAGGGTTAGGGTACGGGTTAGGGTTAGGGTACAGGTTAGTGTACGGGTTAGGGTTAGGGTACGGGTTAGGGTACGGGTGCTCTGGGTTCTGCTGACACTGTTCACAGTGTCCACAGGAGAAGGGTGGCCCATGTGAGTGCTCACTGGCTCATTGTAGCAGATCACGCTAGAGCAGAGGGGCAGCTTGGGCAGGGAGTCTCAAACTCTGCCTCCGTTTGTGTCTAGTCTTCCAGCAAATACACCATAGGCTCTTGCACCCACCAGGTAAGACATGGCTCTGCCTTCTAGGAGCGGGCAACCTGGAAAGTAGGACGAGATTAAGACAAAGTACACAGCATAGTGATCTCCTGAAAATCGTTTTTGAGTGGCTGAAGGCCAGAGGGAGGATGGGTCTATTTGGTGTCTCCCTGTGCTACCCTTCTGGCCTCAGTTAAGGGTAGACAGAGGGATGTATGTATTCAGTGCCACACTGGATGACTGGGGACTTCCTTTGGGGCTGGGAGGACCACCGCTCAGAAGGTAGGATCAATGCTGTGCCAGGAGCCCAGGGCTTTCTAAAGGCAGGTGAAGCTGGGTATGAACTGGTGAGTTGGGCATAAGCAGGTGTGAGCCAGGAGTAAGCAGGGCAGGGCAGAACTCCTGGGCCTCCACCTGTCCTGGGGTTAGGACCTGCGGTCCCTGGAGTCCTCCTCTTGATGTCCCTCCAACAACCCTGAGAACAAGCCCTATAGGGAAGGTAGTCTACCTCAGGAGACTGCGGTCCTGGGGAGCAGCCTGGGGCCCGTAGTGTTAAGCGTCCCCTTCTTCTTGCCATCTCTGGGCTCAGATATGCAAGCCTCACCTGTGATACAGGTCTTGACTTCCCATGGCTCTTTCCTCTGGGGTCCCCCTGACACTTGGGGTTTGCCCTTGGTGCAGGGTC